AGGGTGCATTGCTACAGGGAGGATCCTGGGTCTCTGTGGAAGAAAATCTATAAAATACGTTATTAAAGCTGCCACGGCTTCGTGTATTGCTTGATCAGAGCTTTCTTCATGATCTATTACCTGCCAAGGCAATTAAAGCTGCTTCACAGAAAAGGTGCAATGGCTTAGCAGCAGGAGATAATGACTAAACATTAAGACCAAATAAATAAGAGTCTCTGGCTTTGGCTCAGAGACCTGCAAAATCATGGCCTTATGGCACCAAGATTCAACCTGTCTGAACTTTTAAAATACCATTAAAACCTGGAGAGTGGCAGGTTTCTACCATGTGACCTCATGAGCTACCTGGTCATATAAGGATATGACTATCAAAAAAGCTGATGTAGGCTGTGCTTTCCAGAAACTTTACAAGTTAATGAGAGTCCATAGAAACTAATGCTAATGATTAGGAGCCATCAATTGAATCACTTTGAAATTATCTGTTCCTTCCAGCTGGTGCCAGGAAGAATTGTAACAATAATATTTTGTTCAAGACACTAAAAAAAAAATAAATCCTAAATACAAAAATTTACAATTTACAAAATTAACCTAGTAAAGTCCAAGCAACATGCTGTTTACATCTGTTTTATTTTATTTCCTCAAAGGTGAGTTAAAATAAATCCAAAACCATTTATATTAACAAATAATACATTTATAAAATTCTGTTACTTACCTAAATTTACTTAAAGTTTATGTAGGCTTGTATCATTGAGAAAGAAAGTTACTTGTTATGCTGCTATAGGCAGTGTAAGCACATGAGGAAAGAGGATTTGTTATTAGCATTGAGGAATTTGGAATGCCAGTATGATACAAGTGTGTGCACTTCATTAGACTTTAGAAATCTAAAGTCTAATAGTTCTAGTTGTTTCTAAAAGGTGCTTTTGCTGTCTTAACATAGTGTTCAAATCCTGAGAGTTTGGTGCTGTGGGAAAGGCTGGGGCTGGGTACAGGACTGGGCACTGCTAAATGATATCGATGGGATGGGATGGGATGGGATGGGATGGGATGGGATGGGATGGGATGGGATGGGATGGGATGGGATGGGATGGTGGCAGGAGCAGTGACAAACCCACACACACACCCTGGCACCTTCCCATGCCCAGGCAGCCTCTGCAGCTCAGGAACATCATCAGCCAATTGTGCTGTACTCTGACCTGTGGACAGTTTCCAGAATCAGTTCCTGTCTGACCTAGTGCCTTCCTTGAGTCCTAAATCTGCTCCTTTGCTCTCAGGTTTTTTTGTTTTGTGGAAGTATCTCCTAATGGTGAGGTCATGGACATGAAGCGATCTTTGAAAATATTTGGTGTGGGGTTTGCATATAAAAGCTGATATAATCTTTGATAGCATAAAACAGTGCAAGATTTTTATCTGCAGAAATAGACTGTGAAGGATAAGCAGCTGTGTGATTCAACCTATTGTCCATGTAGAACCAGGATCCCAGGATACTGGTGTTTTTCATAAAATACATGGTGCTTGAAGGAGGCCATTTTCAAATATAGCATTCTAGCAAATTTACATACAACAAAATAGAAATATGTAGGTTTCTCTATTGACAACACTGATATATTTTTCTATGTGCCATGACCTGGTGGCAATATAGTACAGAGCAAACAATATCTTTATTTTGAACTGCAGAGGATCCTGGGATGGAGCTTGCAGTAATTCTAGGGAATAAGATTCACTGGACTAATTGTCTGATAAAATGTTTCTAGATGACAAAGATTTCTGAAGATCTTTGTCTAAGACAATCTAGGAGACACACATGTGGTGGAGTGCATGTGAAAAATTACTTTTATTTGATCTTTTCTGTATAGCAGAAAAATAATTTTTATTTCCCTCCATTCACCATGAATTTTGATCCAGTTTTTCTTTGAAATTTACCTTTATTGAATCCAAGAAAGTGAAATCAAATTGTTGACACAAAGTCAATAATTTATTCAAGTTCCCCCATGATCTCCAACTGCAGCAGGACTTTTTTATGGTCCTTTTTTTCCCAGAAATGACTTCATAAAATCTGTTTAGCTCAGACTTTCTGTTCAGATTTGATGAGTTCAATAACAGTTATGGCAGACATCATTTTGACTGTTCAAGGCCCCTTTTCATTGGCAGTATCCTCTGATGGGCATCATCATGATATCTATCAGCAAGGGAACACTTTTTGAATGTGCTTTTGATAAATTGCCTGGTAAAAGAGAGCAGGGACTGAGGAACTTTCTTCTTACATCTTGTCTTCAGTGTGCCACAGCCCTGACACCACATGCTGTAAGAATCAAATTTCCAGATTCCCACCTATTGAAAAACCCTACATCTGGTGATTTTTATTTTATTGGTTCAATACATTTGCCCTTTTGTGTGTTTGTATATTTCTTGTCAGAGCACCTTGGATTTATTAAGCTCCTCTGTATATTTAGCAACCAGAGCTTGTGCTGTTAACTTTCATCACTGAACAGAAAATGGGCAGTGTTCCCAGTTACAGGGATTGCTGAAAGGAAACTGCTTCATCTGAAAAATCTTGTTAGACAACTAGGACAATGCTGCCGTGGGGTGCACCAGTTTCATCGTGAAGTACTTTGCTTCCTTTCATCCACTGGCAATTCCCTACAAAGTTGTAGAAAAGCTTTGTACTATTTTTAATATTTTAAATTATTCATCTTATAATCAAGATTTTAGTCTTACAGGTTCAGATGAAGAGTTTTCTTCAGGAGCAGAAAATGTGTATTCTTTGAATACTCATTGGGATAGAGTGACAGTTCACCTGAATGCAGGTTTGGGATTCTAGCAATCCCTGAAGTGTAGTCCCTGTGCTAGTAAGGCTTTTCCTCTGATCTGAAAGAGCTCATTTGGCTTTTCTGACTCACTGTCTCCTCTGTAATTAGTGACTGGGTAGAACACTGAAGTTTTACTTGTAATGTAGGTTTCATAGGGAGCTATTGAAAAAAAAAATTACAAATCCATGATTTCTGTGGATTATTTGGGCTAATCTGGTTTCTTTCAGCTGATGTAGAATGCAGCCAGCTAGACAAGGCCCTTTTATAGCATTTTATGAGTGGACAAAATCAGAAATATGCTCTGTAAACTTCTGAATTGTGCAAGAGTTGACGCACAGAGAGGTAGGATTACCATGGAGAAGGCACAGCAAACATTATATGCAAACTATAAATGGCATTCACATGTCTAGGATGGCAAGACAAGACATCTATTTCCTCTAAACTGATCTTGTACTCTTTCTTTCATGTTTTAAACAAACTAATTAAGAAGTCCTATTCAGACCTTCAGAAGAAGGTGTTTGGCATGGAAAGGAATGGTATTTACATAGTTGATTTGTTATATTAATTTAGTATCTGCTTTGTAGAGGATTAAATACTCAGCACAGACTTGCTAAAATGCTTTACAAATAGAAATTTAGCTAAATTTTTTTTAATGCACAGCAGCATATAATTAGCTTACAGCAAACCTCTGTTCTTCTGTGTGGTCTTTTATGTCTGTTGTTGAGCAAAAGAAAAAGGACATGCAGGTAAGCAGCATCAGACAAAATAAGAAGAATGAAAAATTCAAGAAAGAAAAGTTAATGTAAGATGAAAAAATATTGCTACAACCCCATCATTTAGTAAGTGCTTCAAAAGCAGCAGTAAAGGGATTCAAATGATCAGGTTGGGGGGTTCTGGTTTTTTAATGAAAGTCAGTTCTACTGGGAAATGGACAGAATTCAACTTCTTGCATAACCTGCACAGGTAACTGCTTGTTGTTGTGTTGTGGATAAGGGCACAAGCCAAGTGTGAGGGTTTGCCTGGCAGCCTTGTGGCTGGCTCTGTTCTGCAGCACGCCAGGAAAGTGGGTTATCAGGAAATAGCCCTTGGCCCGGCACTGAGGCAGTGCTTGCATGTGTGCTTTGAACTGGAGCAAAACACTTTATCTCTCCCATCACTGCTCCCCTTCTCATGTCACAAACACTTCAATGAAAGATAGCATTCTCCATCCAATAGATGAGGATGATTAAAAACTTAACCAGAAATGAGACTCTGAGTCATTACAAAAGGGCTTTAATTGTCTATCTGGTAAAGTATCATGAGAATTTTCCCTCTCACAGAGCAAGGCATAAGATGATTCAGTTATTCATCCTGAAAAAATAATTTCCTCTCAAGGAGTTAGAGGAACCAAGCCATTGTTGCAGTGCATTTTTTCCCATTAACTAATTTTAAAGCTTATTGTGTTGTTTCTGATCTGCTTAGATGGTTAAGAGCAGTTGAAGGATTAATTACTGAAAATGCAATGTCAAAAAAAGTGCTATTTGCTGAACTTAGTTTGTTGATGAAATAGTCATTTCCTTGAACCCCATAGGCTCTTTTTTTAAATTTTTTGTTAATTTATAAGCTCTTTGTTTCTTATTTAACTTTTCCATTAAATTTGGGCTCTGGTTGGTTTTTTTGCTTAATAATAAGGGACCATTTGTTAGCTCTTCCACCTTTTGAAGTAATTTCTCTGCACTAAGCTAAAAATTTGTAACTACCTCCTGAGAGTTACAAACTGGAAAGACCTGAATCAAGTGTGGCTGAGGTATCAGTTTGCTTCCTTCAGGAGCTATATGCTGATGTTGGAAAGTGTCTAGGAAACAGTCGCAGTCAAAAACAATAATCTGAATTTCTTCCATAAGATACTCAGAAATACCTCAGTAGGTCTGAACTGCCTGCCATACTTTTTGCAGATTATAGGACTAGTTCTAGAATGAAAGAGAACTGCTGTAAATGCTTTATTCCGTGTAAAGGTTTTGTTTGAATGTGACATATGGTAAAGTAGTGCTGTGGAAGTGTCTGAATCATTAATTTCTGGCTTCTGTGCTGTGTCCTTTAAGAAAAGGTCATTGTGCCCCCATGCCCTATTTTGTCTTTTGGAAAGAGGAAACACAACCCAGCAGTCCTGCCTGCCTAATGTCACTCATCACCCACCATACGCTTTCAATGCAACAGGGAGGAACGTGCTTACGTGGAGAAGTGCTGGAAGGATGTCAGAGTGGGGGACTTTGTGCAGCTGCAGTGTAACGAGATCGTCCCAGCAGACATCCTGCTGCTCTACTCCTCTGACCAGAACGGGATCTGCCACCTGGAAACCGCCAACCTCGACGGGGAGACCAACCTCAAGCAGCGCCGCGTCGTGATGGGCTTCAGCAGCCAGGTCAGTCTGGGACAGGCAGCCCACAAAGGGGCACATCTGTCCCCAGCTGTGGCCACTGTGCCACAGCAAAGCCACTGCCACGAGGGGTTCATTCCTGCATGGCAATTGGAAGGAAGCTCATGGTCCCCTGCCACAGCATCCTTGTGGGTTTCCTTATGGGCTCTGTGTCTCCATTGTCCTGACACACCACACTCACTGCATGGGCAGCTGGAGGTGTGAGAGCTCAGCTGGGAGCTGCTCTAAGGCACTCTGGGCTGACAGTTTAATAGGAACTCAAGGTAAATTAATTAAATTTTTTTTTAAGTTAAATGTTTGACATCAGTTTGTGATTCAGTTTGAATTCTTAAAATCGCCATTTCTTTTTCATAGGCAGTATCGTTTCCTTTTTACCTTTTTCCTTTACTTTAGTGCTATATTCACGTGGCTGATGTTGGATAAACCTGAAGTAAACTAGAAAATATGACTTAGGGAGAGTTGTTACATTTTCAAGGGTCTTTAAATACAAAGAAGGGCAGTTTTTTAAATAACCCAGAGCAAGTTTAAGGAGTGGTAGCATGTGCAGAGGAAAACTTTGTTCCATTGGAATCACTCCAGCAGACAGGAAATAAAACCTCACAGATAATTCTAGGAATTACATTAATTCATTTAGCAATTAGTACCAGTGCCACTAGGAAGATCTTTTGTTTAGTGGTGTTTGGAACACAGCTGCCAGGGAGCAACCAGACATTAAATAAAAGCACAATATTTCCATGGCCAGTTGAGATCAGGTGCTGTACTCGTGTTATTTGCTTGTTGTCAAATGGTAATCACTTTTCAAAGACAATTAAGGGCTTTCTCATATTGTGGCATAGCACAGGCCTTTTCCAGTGTCATCCAGTGACAATTAGAGAGAAGTTTTGTTCCTGAGACACACTGGAAATTTTAATATGTAAAGATTTAGCAGAAAAACAGTAATCTGGCTACTTAACATTTTTTTAATGTTGTATTTTTGTCATGTAGTTCTAATTTACATGCTAGTTTTTCTATCTATTTTTCCTTTTAGAGGAGAACAGGGTGCTCTACCATTACACAAACTGTGAACTTTTGCCTCAGTTGTTTGTAATGTGTGGAAGTCTTCCATTATATCACAAAATAGCCCCATGCCAAACTATGCCGCAGACTGCCTATTCATGGTGGTTTTGTTTAGACTTTGAGTTGTTACTGAGATAAACTGTATGCCTAAGAATGTCTATAGTTAAGAACTCCTGCCACATTAACAGAGTGGGATGCAATTGTGGCCATGGTGGCAGCCAGTGCTCAGGAAGGTCAGAGCTGACAAACTTCCTGTGTCACCCTGCTCTTGGGGTGTGTTTGTGTGAGCAGTGTGCTGGAGGAAACCCCAGTGTATGTAGCATCACACTGCAGGTTTTCGTGTGCCAACTTCTTCCTTGTTCTTTGAGCTTTGCTTAGTCCTGTGATTTATGAACTGCGTAAAACCCCTCGGATGTAATTCTGCCTATAAAGTGACTCTTTAAACAGAGAGGAAATAAATACATATTAGTCAGTTCTTCAGTTGGGTTAGAACTAACTGGGGTTAGTTCTTCAGTTTAGGATGCAAGAAAGGTGGAGAGAGACTATTTACAAGAGCATGGAGTGACAGGACAAGGGGGAATGGCTTCAAACTGACAGCAAGTAGGTTTAGATGAGATATCAGGAAGAAATTCTTCCTTTTGAGGGGGTGAAGCCCTGGAACAGGTTGTCCAGAGAATTTTTGGGTTTCTCATCTCTGGAAGTGTCCAAGGCTGGGTTAAACTGGGCTCTGAATCAACCTGGTCTAGTGGAAGGTGTCCCTGCCCACGGGATGATCTTTAAGGTCCCTTCCAAAACCCTTACCATTCTGTGATATGCTTAGGAATATTGCATACAACTCTCTGTAAAAGACTGAGAGAAAGGATTATAATTTTTTTTTCCTTTTATGACATTTTTAAATTTGATTTTTCAAACATAAAATTCTTGTCATCAAAAGAGAAAAAATTTGAGACCTTTCTATCTAGAAGCCTAATCATTTTCTTTTTTAGCAATGAAAATGCCAGGTGACTTTTGTATCTTCCTGTTCTCCTGTTGTACAAATTCTTCTGGTAAAACCAAATATGAACTGATTTTCCTGTTGAGTTCATGGAGTTGAACAAGATTCAGCACATGTGAAAATTCTGTCTTAACAGACATTCTAAAAATACTCAGCCAGATGGGTCAGAAGGTATACAAAATGCCCTTATATTCCTGAAGTTTTATATTTCCCCCAACAATTTTTTATCATATTCTCTACTTTTTTGTACTTATATACATGTATATAGTTAAAAAAAAAGGAATATATTCATTGTTTATGAAAAGAAGAATGAGAGAGAAAATAATGTAAAAATAAAAGCACAATGCTTGCTTTAGAACAAGGGAGGCCCAGTAGCAGATTTGATTTCCAGCTTTCCTAATGGAGGATTTTGTATTAAGTGAGCTTCAGTTCTTTTAAAATTCTGTGGCACAGAAATAATTATTATCTTTCACATTTCTCACATCCCATTTTTATTACATCTTCTTAATCAAATATCAGAGTTCTGTGTTTTTTTCAGTTAAGACTAAATCACTTATGGCAGTCAAGTACCTCTCACTCTGTCTGCTCTCTGGACTACTTCATGCAGCCCAAACCCCAGGCTGTTCCCCTGAGCACTGGGGAACTCAAGTAAAATCCTGTGACTCAGTTAACTCCAAATTCTGACAAAGTCTGAACAGCTTTGTCTCATTTTGTCTCTCCCAGCAGTGTGGGTTTATTCTACTGCCTTTCCTCTTCTGGATTTTTTTGTCCATTTTAGGGTTGGGTGGTGGGGGTTTTATGCTGTTAGTCTTGCTTTTAGTTTTCTTTGATTATGATGCATTCATTAAAATGTGCGTTCTCTTTACAATTATACCATCCTGGACATTAACATAAGTCTTCCAGCATAATCAAAAATCCTGTTAAATCCTGAAATTATTTTCATTTGAGCTTGCTCTTGGTTGACCACTGTTTTTCTTTTATAAGTAATCTGAATGTTTCACAGGACCATAGAATCCCAGAATGGTTTGGCCTGGAAGGAACCTTAAATTTCATTTTGTTCTAACCCCCACCATGGGCAGGGACACTTTCCACTAGCCCAGGTTCTCAGAGCCCTGTCCAACCTGGCCTCAAACATTCCCAGAGATGGGACAGCCACAGCCCTGGGAAACCTGTGCCAGAGCCTCTCCACCCTCAAAGGGAAGAATTTCTTCCTAATATTTAATTTAAATCTACTATCTTTGTTATATACACTTCAAATGAAGACAAGTGTTTCCACTAATTGGCATCTGTGATATCTTGTTCAATACACAGCCTTTTCTTCACTTACTTTAACCAGTTGTTATTCCAAGAGGAGGAAATACTCAGCCCTTCTGAAGCTTTACTTCAGGCTGAATGAGTTAAAATGTCTTTGTCTCTCCTAGGGCAAGTGCTTCAGCCCTGGTGGTCTAAATTAAGCTTTTCTTATTGTTTAGCATTTCAAATACTCATTGGATTTGACATTCATTCTCAGTGTGTTTTCTCTTGTAGGATACTGTGTTTGAACCAGAATTTTTCCAAAACACCATCATCTGTGAAATGCCAAACAATGATCTCAATAAATTCAAAGGTTATATGTAAGTACTTATTATCCATAAATACATTCTGGATCTATACTTTGACATTCCTCTTGGAGGAATTGGATGGAAGGAAGATATTTTGGGGAAATTGGTGGTTGTCACTATTATCTATTCCAGATTCAGAAGTCAATATAAAATGTAGACTTGGACTCTGTTTTGTGGCAAGGTAGAACCAAGGCTTGGCATTGTATTTACAGTTGTTTCCTGCAAACTGTTTTCACAGAGATTCAGCTCTCTTCCAAGCTTAGACCTAAGCTTATTTACATTTGACCTGTTGATTAGACTAAACTAGGTTTTAGATAAATCTTTCCACTTGTTTAAAGGTATCCAGCTGCATGGCTCTAGATTCTTCACATTTACAGCCGCAGGGAAAGGTGTCCAAGATCTAATAAACAAACCAGTTTCTTCTTATTGGAAAGGTAGAAAAAGCAATCATGCATGCAAAATGCTATTGAACTGATGCACTGGACTAGTATAAAAAAGTAGGGTAGGTTTCTTTTTTGTCTTTCTTCATTAAATAATGTTGGCACAGGCATAACAGCACATTCAGCAGATTTAGCCCCATTTATGAATTATAAGGCAAATTTCTATGTCATGGCTCATGTCTTAAAATTCTCTTACCCTCCAAAACAGAGCAGCCTTTCCCAAGGCTCTTTTCAGAGAGGTCATCAGTCCATTCTTATTCACACACCACAGCAGAGAATTGTCCAAAATACCTACCCACACCAAATGCATTGGTCTGGGTATTTTAATAATGCATATTAATTATCTGCATGCCCCGTTGTTATGCAGAAAATTGAACTGCATGAATGTGTCAGCATCCTCACCCATGCCCCAGCTTTGCTAAATTTATCAGTAGCTAAACTAGAATTTAATGGCTCTGCAAGAAGCAGTGAGAGTGTTGCACCTGGAGGAGCTGCAAATGGCTGGCTCTCTGACAGAGCAAAGCAGGGATTATCTCCCATTAGCACTGACCATACCTAATCTGGTTTTGGGGCTGTGCCCTGTAAGAATGGTGCCTCTAATACAAGTGCCTTTTCTCCTCTGCTGCAATATCTTACAAGGGAAAAAGAGGTCGAGTTTGTATTGATTGCTGGCTGTGGTTCTTGGCTTCAGGGAGAATTGGGTGTAATCTAAATTGAAGCAATCCCTCCAATTAGCAAAGAGTGCTGAGATTATAGAAATGTAGGAGATATGTCACAAGAAAACACACACAAATACACACCCTTAGGACTCAGGGCTGGCTTCAAAATATTCAACTCTCAACTGAAAGTCTGTAACTGAAATTCTCCTTGGTGAAAGCCTATTAACTCGCTTGATGGAACATGGAATTAGCTGCCTTTCTCTCCCCTCTTCAGGAACAGAAGAAAGAACTTGCTGGGTAAAATTACTTGCTAAGAGTTAGTGGAGCTCCTGTCTTTAGTCTGCTGAGATTTGAGCTATTTTGTAAACACAAATTATTTGGAGCAGGCTACCTTTTTGTCCATGAACCCTTAATAAATGATTGAGGCTCTATTGCCTTGCTATAAAATAGCAGGGGTACTCTCTGATAAAAATGATAAGAAATAACCTAATGACATCCATCTGACATGTCCCATCACAGAAAATTCTGTTCAAGGGGATGCAAGAGGGCTTCTATTAAATGAGTTCCCCAAGGAGGAATTCAGATTCCAAGAGAAACAGATTTCTGGCATTATGTTTTTACAATTCCAGCAGCTGTAGGTGGTTGACACTACACCTTTTCCCTTGTCTAGTTTAAGTTGTGTAATCATGTGCAGCTGCACTTAGACATTGGACTTTACTTAGCTCTAATATAACACCTAGCCTTGCCCTTCATTTGAGAGATGAGACTATTTACTGGCAAATGAAACACAAAATACTAAACAGAAAGTAGAGAGAGATGATTATTCTAGGAAAAAAGAAAGGTTTTTTTCCCATCCTGACCTTTACATAACAAAACAAGACAAAGCATCTAAATAGAAGCTCTCAGCTTTGGTAAAGATCTCAGGAGGAGCCTACCGGTGTAAAATAAAAGCTGTGTGTAGGGGCAGGTGTGTGCCATTAATTTTCAGAGGCAAGAAACAAATTGCCTGCCTGATGGAGCACCAACTTTATGATTTTCAGCAGCTTGTTCTGAAAGCAGAAGGACCTGGTCTGTGGAGAGGCAGCTTTGGCCAGGATGAAAAGTCTTCTATCCAGGATGAGATGAGGAGGAGCTCCTCAGCCCGAAGGCTGCTTCAGTGACCTGACATTCACAAAGACCTTTGGTGGCTGATGGAGCCACAGAGGCTCTGGCAGGGTGTAGATGTATTCATCTGAACCTCTGCTCATCTTTCTAAAACAAATTTGTCTGCAAGAAGTTGCAAAATTGCTCTTGTTTTCTTTCATAAGATAGTGAATCTGCCAGATAAGTTTCCAAGTGAAAGCCAAAGTTGCTTTGTACTGGCATCATGACACACACTGTGCAAGTGGTCTTTAAAAGAAAGACTTGGACTTCTCTGTAACTTTTTGCTGGAAAAGTTTCCTTGAAACTGAGGGAAATAAAAGCTGAACAGGACCTACAAAATTACTTTATTTCAACTTGAAATATACATGCACATGAAAATTTTCTTTAACACTCCATTAGAACAGAAAAATTAATTGCTCTATTTGATTATATTTCTTCTAGGGAACAGCCAAACCATGAACAGGTAGGTCTCAACATTGAAAACCTCTTGCTTCGTGGATGTACCATCAGAAATACTGAGGCTGCAGTAGGAATCGTTATCTATGCAGGTAAGACATATTTTCTATTTAGGTAAACTGAGAATTTCTCTGTAAATATCCTTTAAAAAATAAGTATAGTCTAATATTGCAACAGAATTTGACATTTTGTTTTAAAAACTGGTAGTGCACAGAAAAAGTTTATAACTTTTTTTTCAGTGAAGGTATTACTCATCCATCTCCAAAGCCAGCAAGTCTTGCACTGGGTCTTTGGCAAGTGACAGTATCCTTGTGCATGTCAAATATCTTGTAAAAATATCCAGACAAGTAAAAAATTGCTCAGGTGTATTTAACCCTCAGCTTTTGCTATATTACTAATTCCATCTGTCATAAAATCTACACAGCTGCCCTAAGGGACGTCCCACTGGCTCCTCAGGGTAGAAACTGGAGCAGCTAAAGAGCTAATTAGGGGGAAAAAAGTGAATTTCATTCATGCATTCAATCTGTGCCAGTGCCAGCATGCAGGAGGCAGTGAGGCAGCAGCTGGAGGTGACAGAAAAGGCAGGAGCAGCACAGGTTTGTGCTGACACAGAGTGTGTCTGTGCAGCCATGAACTTCGTGCAGGAGACATGGACAAAGAGACACAGTGTTGGTGCCCAGATGAAATGCAGCAGTGCCAGGTTCAGCAGTGGGTCAATTCATCTGTTTCTCAGCATCTTTTACCTTTGGAATGTTACCACTGCTTTTACTCAGTGAGCATTATTTATCATTGGCTTTGCCAGCTGTGTCCTCTTCTGTGTCAGATAGAGTGTATCAGCTACCCTCTTATTTGAAGATTAAATAAAAGTCAATTCAAACACAACAATTAATCCCATTAGCTATCATTATCTTTCCAGTAGAGTTATATTAACTGTTTTATGTCTAATCAGCAGCAAGGGGTTCAGAGTTGAACCACCTAAGAGAAAAGAGAAGTCACACCTTTACAGGAGTCATTTAGCTTAGATTCATCTGCACAGCCCGGCACAATTTTCCTGACAACGGACTGTCTGTTTCAGTATCACACAACTGGACTCTGAATGTCTGCAGCTCCCATATGTTTGATTCCAAGGCAGCTTTGACTTTGCAGGTCTCTCACCACATGCAAGGGTGGTGCCCACCGGGCAGAGGAGGAGAGCCAGAGCCAAACTCTGCAATCTTTTTTTCTAAGCAGCTACTGTATAAAAATCTCAGTGGGGATCATTCCTGATATAATTGGAGTAATTTATCTTCCCTTCTCCTGTAGCAGTTCCTCATTTTCTTCTGTTTAGCTCAGATTTCCCAGTATGTTCTCTTGACCACCAGCACAGATCCTAATGGGGATCTCCATTTATGTTTCTTAAGCTGCCAGTAGAAAAGGCTGGAGTTTTAAAGTTATTCCCAAGACATGGTGATTTTCATATGAGTAGATCTTCAAATCAATTTCCGACTGAATTCTTATTGTTAATGTCAGCATAAAAGTTTTTGGGTTTTTTTTCCTAAAATTAGACTGGCTTCAGTCAGTATCGTCTTCATTTCTAGGGTTCTTTGACATTGATTATACTCTAGCTTTTAATCATGGTCTGTGACCTTTTCTGAACAATCAAGATCAGTCACATAATAAGATGGCACACTTTCCATTTTTATGACTCTATTACTCCTCAAACTTTCTTTCTAATAGAAGCCTTTGTGGGGAGTGCAGCCATCACTCAGTGCCACTGCTTGGGCTGTGCAGTTCTCGTCTGACCCGAGGACAGTTGTACTTTTCATGGCTACCCAAATTGTTCTACACAGAGCAATAGCACTAAAACACAAAAACCTCATTACAGACTGACAGCCAATGTAGTTTTCTCCTTCTGATTGGAACAGCAGTAAGAATTATATGCTTTTCATATACTAAAGTACCAGAAAGAAGTTTTAGATGAGCCCATCATCTTCTAGAAGTAGAGAGCCCATCAGCATCTAGAAATAGATATCTATCTAGAGAAATAAAGAAGTTGGGATGGTAGGTGAGGTGCTGTGCTTCACATAGGAAGGTTGAGGATTAGAGGAGAGCAAAGCAGTTTATTTCTCATATTTCTGATTTTCTCTTCCTTACGAGGTGATAACTGTGTTACAGAAGTGTCCTTTTTCTGATGATCACCTGAAGTGGAAAGGAATGGTAGAACTGATATTTGGAAATAAGCTCATCACAATTTCTTCCTGAAATAAATTCATCAACACTTCCTTAAGGGTTTTCAGGGAGGGATTAGAGGGCTTTGGATTTGTTTTATTTCAATACAAACCATTCCATTATGCCTGACATAAAAGAAAAGTGAGGAATAAGATTCCCACAGCTGCTGGAGGAACAGAAATTCAAGGAGCAGTGCTCTCCCCTTCAGTGTAGCTCGGTGGTTAAGAGATTTTGCTCACCAAAGAAAAGGCTTAGGGTTTGTTCTGAGTTCTGCCTGTGTGGGACTGAACACACATCTCCTGCTTCCAGCCTGTACACTGGAAAAGCTGCCTAAGTGAGACAAGAGGGTTTGTGCTTATGTGTGAGGTGGAAGGGCAGGAGCAGGGGTAGCATAAACTGGTCCCACTGACACAGCTCCAGGTTGTGTACATCATTACATATTCATTGGATTGGCAAGCCAGGAGCCCCAGCTCTTGAGTGAATGTCCTGAACATAAGGCTGGAGACTAATTTTCTCTCTAGCTCTCTTCTTAATTAATAACTGCTGATGTAAACCTGGAATGAATCCAGCAGGTGTGATTGAACTGCACCTAACTTCCAGTTTTTGGGTTAAATCACTTCCCCAGAGAAAGCTAAAAGCCAGCTTGGAAAACAGTCCTTGTCACACACATCATGCACATACAAATGAAAACTAAATACGAGCCTGCAGGGTCTGTATTTTCAGGGAAAAGGACTGCAGAAATAAACATAAAAGATACAAACCAATGTAACAACAGATGGTGTCCAGATATCCCAGTTGTGGAGCCACAGTTTAGATAACATTAAATTGAATTGAAAAAGTAATTTCTGCTTCTTGACTTCTTGCAGCAGTCCTTTTTTCATTATTATTATTATAGCAGCTCACTTCTCTCTCACTAAGATTAAGGACTGGGGATTTTTTTATTTCTCATATGACTGTTTTGTCAGCACTTTACAACCAAATTGTGAAAAGCTAAATATTATTTTTTTCACTGACTTGTTGAATTTTATTTAATATGCAAAATGTATCTAGTGGCTTTTGAATTGCTGCTGAAAAATATTCAAATGTAGTTTTCAGGAATCTTTATAGCACCTAAATAATTTGTTCATAAAATGCAAAAACATACATTTCATTTTCTTGTTCTTCTCATGGATATTTGGCTTTTGATGGTTTATATAAACCTTATGATCCTACTTAATCCACTGTCATTGGGACAGAAAAATGTATATGACAGCTGAAACCTGTGATATAATGGAGGTTTTTGGTAAACTTCAAGATTTAGACTCTGATGTCTCAGTCAAATAGGAAGATGGACAAGGAAAGTTCTGAATGTCAGCATTAGTTGTCCTGCTCTCAGTTGGGGAGCTTTTTAAAAAAACCAAACAAAAATACAACATATTACATAAATATTATAATATTAATTTGTGTTTTGAAGGTCATGAGACGAAGGCCATGCTGAACAACAGCGGCCCTCGCTACAAGCGCAGCAGGATAGAGCAGAGGATGAACATGGATATTTTCTTATGTGTGGGACTCCTGTTTGTGATGTGCCTTGTTGGAGCTGTAGGTATGAAGCACTGACAAAAATCTATTTCCCAAATGGTGATGAAAATGTATGTTGTGGACATGAGTGAGATCTACAGGTGAATAATGCTCTTGGGGTCTTTAGACTCCTTGGTCTTTCCAATAGGTGAGTTAAGATGGTAAATCTAAGCAATTCAGTGAAGAAAACATGGCTATAAATGTTTCAGACAAGATTCATCCCCACCATGGTATCATACATGTAAAGCAAGAGAAAGCCATCCTGTGAGTGCATTGTAGGAATGGATATTTGTCAGCTGAGATCTTCCTTCCTTCCCGAGTGCTTCCTGAGGGGGTGCTTCTTCCTTGTGCATAGCAGCAAAAGTTAAATGATTTTGCTTTACTTTCATTTCAGTTGTGTTTTCCTCTAATATGTTTGGGAGTGGTATTAAACAGAGACACACAATTTAGAACCCATGAGCTGCTCATAACTATTTCATTCAGTTTACATCCTCCACGGCTTCCTTCCTTCTCAAAAGCCCCTTTACATCAGGCTGTGAAATGGAGTAATTGCTTATATTGTAATAGCCTGCATTTTTCTGGGGTCCTTGCAGGTGAGCATGTGTGAATTTATTAACTGGTGTTTGTTAACTGACTGGATTGGTAATCTCAAAAAGATCATCTTCACTGTGTGTAAGCACCTGCTTGCCTTCCAGCTCTGATTGCAATCTGTCCCAGGCAGGCCAGAATTAACAGGATCTCATCATTCAGAGCAAAGGACCAAATTTTAGGTGTACAGACTTTTGAATGGGGCCATGCTTTAAGGAGATAGCGGGGGCTCCCATGAGCCCCTTTTTCTTTTAATGGATTTACTCAGTGCTGCTGCTGTGATTAAGCAACAGTCAAATCAAGTCTTCCCGTGCCTGCCCTGGAGGCATGTGGGGTGGCACCAGTCAGTCATCAGGTGTGATACCATGGGAAGTAAGGACCATCCAAAACAGGTGAACAACTGAACTGCCTTGATCTCCTCTCTAGTATTACTGCTTCATGTTGCAGTGGGAATTTTGGCATCAAAATGAGATTTCAGTTTCACAACTGAGATGTGTGTGAGGGAAAGATTTTATTTTCCTCGTTCCCTGGCTGCTGTTATCTGGATTTAGAGACTTGCCTTGTTTGGTGTGTGGGGGCTCTTGAGTAATAAAGTCCTTCAATTTAAGGTTAAAAGAAGTCTCAGATGAAAAAAATCAGCATTTGAAAAATAATTTTTCTAGTCAGGTTAAAAAAAATGTTCATCTTTTAAGTGAAACATGTAAAAGCATAAAAAGTCTTTTACCTTTCAGCCATCCAAAATGTCCAGAGGCTCTACCACGAGTTCTTGCTTTGCAGCCTTATCTGAATGTAAGGTTCTAGGGAAAATTATCACTGGTGGATCAGTTATCAGGATTGTTCTTGCACACAGTGATGAATTGGGGTAAGAAGTGGCTTGTAGAGCAGAGTTTTCCTTGTTCAGATGTGACTGTGGTCTGAAGCAGCCAAAGAGCATTGCTGAAGTAATTTGAATATTTTTGGCAGCATTTCAGTAGGCAGATGCTGCAAACCAACTGCTTGGTTAACTGGTGCTAATGGAGGTTTTATTTGAGCTGGACTGATAGAGGCTTTTGGCATCTGCACAAGTTATGCAACGAGGGAAAACAAGTTGTTTGCCTTAGCTCTGTGGGAAGCTCCTGATGCTGTAAATTTAGAAACCTCATTGATAAAAGTTTATTTCAATAAGGACAGTATGGAAAGTGGTAAAACATTTGTGATGGGATGTTGTTAAGTCCTGGAACAGAGGCTTTGTTGTAGCAGTGCAATGATATCTGCTGGTATTTAAAACATGGAGGAAGAAGCAGTTTGAGATATGATTTAATTGAAGGAATGTAAAGATGAGTTGCCCAGACTGAATTTAGGAGATTTTTCAATTCTTAGTGAACACAGATTGAAATCAAGACTGGTCAGAGAAAATAAGAAATATTTTAGTTTGTCTGTATACAAAGTTCTAAGACTTATTTCTGTGAGAGGAAAGAGAGTCTTCAGCTCTGAGGATTTTTATGGATAGGTGATAGAGATGGAATCTTCCAGCAGGGAAACACAGAATGAGAAAAGATCTGTGCAGAGCTAAGAGCTGTGGGAAACACCAGATGAAGCAGAGGTGAATGAAAATATCCCTGAATACTCATTTGTCATGGGTATATCAATTATGTGCATGTGCTACAGAGCTCTGCAGGTGCTTTGCATTCTCCAAAAGATTTGCAGCATTGTTTTGGAAATGCTCTCTCTGTTCTGTTAGCAGAGCAGTCCATATCTGCACATTTCAGAAGCTTTGTCTCTCACTCCACTGCTCAGCTGATTTCAGTCTTGTATCTCATTCCTACAGGACATTGCATTTGGACTGGAAACTTTTGGGAGCATCCACCTTATGATGTCCCAGACCTGAATGGCAATTTTGTGTCTCCAATTCTTGCTGGTTTCTACATGTTCCTGACAATGATAATCCTCTTGCAGGTAAAAGACAAAAACCTCTCTGTTACCTCCAAGGAAGAAGCTACTACTTAAAATTGAGTATAATCACTAATGAACAATTAATATCCATTAATAGCTGTGCAGTGCCTTCTTAATCCTATTTGAAAATATTGCTAGGAGTGTTTCAAATCAGTCAAGTGTGAAATAATGTTTCTTTTTTTTTTTTTCTTTCTTACTGCAGATTTTTTTCTTGCTATTGAAACCCCACAAGGATATAGATAGGAAATACATGTATAATATCTTTAACTCAGAATAGCTAGCAGATGCAATAAAGAAGATATTTACATCCAAATGCCAGCTTTTTTTTTTCTGCCTATATCCAGAATTCTAAAATAAGAAGGCCACTTAGCAGCTCAGAAAAACAGTGAAACAAAAATTGCCAATTTGCCAGTGGGGAATAATAACTAGGTATGGTTCATCTGGTCCAGGAAAGAAGCTAAATTAGAAGTAGGATACTTGTATAGCTGAGTGTGATTAAGCCTAATTGGGAAAGAGTATTTTATTGGGTGAGGGGAAAAATTACATTTACTTTTCAGATTTCTTTATGTCAGTGCTGAGATTTAAGTGGACAGAATTTTTTAATATGAAAAAAAAAATCTGAATATAACTTTCAGAGCTGCTCAGAGATTCCTTGGGGGATTATTCTTCATTACTGAGACAGAATATTTGTGCATCTTAAGAATTCATTATTCTTTCAGGGCAAGGAATCTTGTGGGTGGGAAGTGTTGTGTGCAAAGTAATGGTTTGTGAAACTTTTCTGCACTAAAAGTTAGTCTGTGCTAGTCCATCCTTTCAGAGTTTCAGAAGGGTAAGAGCAAGCATGACCCTATGTCCAGAAAACATGCTTTGTAAGGGCACCCTTCAAAAGACCCACCTCTGAATTTAGTACTCTAGGAATTTAGTCTTAAGTTTGGCACTTATCGCTGTTTCTCCATTATTGTGTGCAGGATTTTTTTTCACCCCTGAATTATTATTAATCAGCCCTAAAATACGTCTCTAGGAGGAACTGCTTCTTTGGAAATCATTAGTATACCTGTGCCAGGACATTTCTGATAGAAAGCAGTGAAATTTATCTCACCTCTCACTGAGAATTTAAACTCTCTTCCAGATTTTAATCCCCATATCTCTTTATGTGTCAATTGAGTTGGTCAAACTGGGCCAAGTCTTCTTAATTCACAATGACATTGACCTGTATGATGAAGAAGCAGATTTGCCCATCCAGTGCCGTTCCCTCACTATTACTGAAGACCTTGGACAGATCCAGTACATCTTCTCAGACAAAACTGGGACACTAACAGAAAACAAAATGGTATTCCGACGCTGTACTGTTGATGGAATTGAGTTTTCCCATCAGGAAAATGGTGAGAGACACTTTTTTGTACTTGCTTTTTTTTGTCTGAGCAATTAAATGTTATTAATTTAAATATTAATATCTAAACATACTGAGCCCTCTGGAGTTTTGTGGAATAGTCACTTTTTTGTGAGGGACTGCTGTAACAGAGATTCACAAAAGTGAAGGTGTTTTAAATTATTCAGAAGTCAGATGGGAAAGGTTTTCCAGATCCCTCTGCAGGCACCTCCAGGATTTGCCCCCCATTCAAAGAGAACACTTTCTCTTTCATTTCTAAATGAGCACCGAACAACCTTTTATAAGCTCACAAACTGATTATAGTTAATATTTAAACTCAGTGGGTCCAAAAGTAATTATTTCTGTGACTATGTAAACATACACTTCTGTGTGATATGACAAATACAGGTACTCATTTCCTGGAGTGGATCCTGGCTGCAGTCCGGGTCGGAAGGATCCTGGCACTCAGTGCTCTGAATTCATGGTGTTGACTCAGGGCCCTTCTTCGTCATTATTTTCATGCTCTGTGTAGTGGAAAGGATCCTGTTAAGCCGGCAAGCAGCTGCCAAAAAGATGTTTGTGTTCTGTGACTGAAAACATTAGCAGATTTGTGAATTACCATATTTCACTCTCCTGTTCCAAATGCAAAAAGCAGCTGAAGAGACAAAACATTAAGAGAAGCTTATAAAAGTGACTGATCACTTTGAAAACACATTTTTATTTTCTTGCTATAATAACGGTGGCAATTGCCAGAAATTGCTGGACAGTGGGCATTTTTCTGGTGATGGCTTTTGAAATGTTTTGGCTTTGATTTAGTTTGTTTCAGGTTTTTTTTTTAACTGATCAAGGAATTCCTCCCAAACAATGAAAGAATAAATCACAAAAGAATCAGAGGTCAGGTTTCATTTTTCTTTTACAGACAGGCGACTGAAAACACAGAGAGAGCTGGATTTAGACAATGAGGATTTTGCAAAGCTTCAGCATTTCACTCTTCCTCCCATGAATCTTGGGAGGCCAGCCACCTACAAGCAGAGCACCATGAGGCCCTTGAGGAGGTGCCAGAGCGACCGGGCGCGTCCCCAGGGGCACAGCAGGAGCAGGTCGGTCGGGCGGCGCGACAGCAGCCAGTCCCAGGTGGCCTTCAGCAGCCCCATCGTGAGTACCTGCAGCAACACCTCCCAAGTCACCCCTTCTGCTGCTTTTGTGGGAATCAGAAGGATAGAAATCTTCACAGACTCGAGAGGGTTTGATTCACAGCCTTAGAGATGTCTAGATTGATGTGAAAGGAAGGTACACAGGCACTGAACAGAGAAATCACAAACTTACGTTTCTGTAGAATATGCCTTAAGTAAGAAACTGTATTAGATAAGATGATGAAGGGTTTTATAGTGTAGTAATGTGATTGTAATAGAACAAGCTGAGTTTAGATGTTATAATAGAGATACACATAGAGACATGTAATAAGACCTTATTGGGCAAAAGTATCCACATTGCAATAGAAAGAAGTAAAGGTGACAGGTTAGAAAAGCAAAACACTCTGTGGCAGCTGTCCATTGGACTAGAAAGTTGTATACTGTCTTACAACAAAGAACTTATGACCATCTTAGACTATGGCTGACTGCTTGGTGTCTTATAAATCTCATGGCCTTGGAGACTGATGTTATCTAAGCAATAAACCCTTCTTAGTCCGATCGTGGTCCCATCCCTTTGATTAATGTGACATCAGCCACAGAAAGCCAACAGGAAGAGAGGAGAAATCCGAGCCTTGCTGGAGCTAAGAGAGGGAAGGAGACAAAGAATCAGAGTCCTCGATTGGAGCATGCAGGCTGCAGTCAGGGGGGAGCAGGATCTGTTGCAATTTAGGTCTGAAGCTTCCCAAATTCACACAGCCTCATTAAAGTCAGACTGTTCTGCTCTTCTTGAAAGTTTTTTAACAGACGTTTCAAACAAGGCTTTTGTGAACAATAAAAGGTCATACACTTTCAAAATTAGAATTCCAATTAAAACAAAAGGCCTGGAAAACACATCCAAATCTTTTCATTTAAAAAACAGTCTAATAAAAGAATTCTCAGAACTTTATTTGCTGCAGTTGTTATAAGATCCTACTTACCTCATTCAATTCTGCTGTCATGTAGTAAGTACCACTTAGAACTCCTACTGTTCTTGGAATATGGGAATTCTGTACGTTGTTATCCTAGTATTTTCCAGCCCAAACCTCGTGAGTTGCTGAGAACATCTCCGTGGATTCTTGAGAACCCATGAGCCATGACTTCTGAGAACTCTTATATGTCATGACTGTTGAAGGATGATCAAGAAATTTCTTGCCAGTATATTTTCCAGTTACATTTTTTACTGCCAGGCCTTTTCTTTTTCTTCTAGAAATAAATATTTTTTTAATTCATTGTAAAGCAATGTTTTAATGCCCTATGACAATTGTAAAGATGTAAAAATAGAGATATTTAGATATTGCACAGAGCCTGCCCTGTGTGACCTTTAAATGAGACATAGTACTATCCTTTGCCACCTGAGACAATTTCCTATTAATAAAATGGAAAAAATAAATTTTTGGTACCTCTATAGTTCCAGCCCTTTGGAAATTGCATCAACTCATCTGATGCATTTTTACTCTGCTGCAAATCTGCAGCATCCTGAGTACTCCTGGTATAGAGAATGTGTTTGTAGACCTGTGTGTATGTCAGCAGACAGATGTTTGTAAGAAAAATCCATCTTTCAACAATGAAACATGATAGAAAATTAACATTTACTCTCTCTACCTTTAGGAGTTCTTGCGAATAAAGAGAGTGACAGTACATTTTCTTCAAGATGGAATAGTTCAAATAAGCAGTGCCTTGCTATTAGCAACATTAGAAATATTAGAAACCAGAAACATTTAACAAATATTTTCATTGTCCCATGGTCATCAGATTTTCATGCCATTGAGTAGAAGAAATGCTATCAAGTTAATGAGGAAACCTTAAAACTGAATGGCACTAGCCATTTTATGTCAGCATTTTCACTAACTAAAATTGTTAACATTGAAAAGCTGGCAAATTAAAATGATTATCATCATTAGTGCTGTTTTATTCCGTTTTCCTTTTGCTTGGTTTGGGTTTTTAATATACATTCAGGCTGAAAATTCAGGTCAGTGCTGCTTTCACTTAATGTGAAAAAGAAGATGAGAAAAATTGTTGTAATAAACATTGATTTTTTTTTATTATTTTGTTTTTAAAACTTGTCTCTGAAGCCACAATTAGCCTGTCAATTTTCGATTTTTTCCAGAGGAAAGTTTTGAGTTCAGAAATTTGCTGCTGAAGTGAAATGCCCAGTAGTGCATTGTCCTTTTTGACAAGAACTTGCAGCAGACATTGAGGATATAGATGAAAAAGAAATTGAGTGGGATCATGACAGATAGGAGAGATGAGATACACATGTAATAATTTGGTGTTTGTGATTTTCATTCTAATTGTGGCAATGCAGAATGAAGAAATTGAATGAAAAATCATGCAAGGTGTTGGTGAGATTCTAACCTTTATTGTTTCAAATTTCATAGAATTCCCAACATAACTGTTTGACATAACTGTTTGAACAGTTCTAGCTGCACATATGTGTTCTTCACTGGAATTGTCCTGTTAGCTATTTGGGATTATTCTGTGTACAAAGCATGGTATTGGCACAGTCCCATCACCCACAGAACCACTGCAGTGCAATATTGTGAAATGGTTTCTTAAAATCAGCAGCTTTAACTTTCCAGCCTCTGATCCTTTTTAGGAGACCTGAGAAGATAACTAAAAAATAAGGCTTATCCTTAGCATGTTTTTGTTTGTTAGAGAAAGGACTCCATCAATACTGCAAACATGTCCCTGTATGTGAAGTAAAAACACATTAAAATATTGAGCCAGAAGAAACAGAACTTTCTGGAGCAGGGAAAGTGCAAAGCTTTGTTCCAGCTTTGGATTTCAGCGAGCTGCAAAATGAACAGTAGATTCATTTATAATTATTAGGATTATTTAAGAACTACTTGTCGCTTTAGCAAGCAGAAGAGGGAGTGTAACATTCAGCACAGTACAGCCAGAAAGGTTCTTGGGTGACTTCTGTTGCCTGTTTACAGAACATGGGAAAACTCTGCCAGATGGAATGAGGTGAGGGCAATAGCTGAGGTGAACTAGAAAGCAGCTAAATAACTTTGGCAGTTCCTTAAAGAAGGCATGTTGGTTCATGGGAAGATGTCTTTTAAATTTGGAATTCCTTGTTAAATATGGCCCAGAATTTAATCCAAACTAGATTTTGCTAACATTAAATTTCTATTAAAAGTAATACTCCCATAGTTCTACATCAAATTAAATTGTAGGGAAGTGACATTGTTAAGTAGTTTGTTTTGCAAATTTAGATTTTATTAGAAAGAGAGTGGTGGTAAAACTACAGAAACATTTCAGGAACAAGTAAATATGTATTTATTTATTTATTGCAAAAACTGAAGAAAAATTTGAGAGCACTTCTATTTCTGAGTGCAAAATGAAACTGCTCTGGAAACAAAAAGTGATAGTGCTGTAATTAAACCATAAGCACAAAATGTTCTCTGTTGAAATAACTATCAGCTTCCACACTGAACTGGGAGACCCCAAGTATACATTCATCTGGAATGCCCTTTAATTCAGGAGTGAGCAGTTTCCAAGTTAAAGGATACAGTATAGATTTTTGTGATTTTTAGTAGATCTCAAAAGAAATAAAATTCTGAGATCATCTTCCTTTTGAAGATGCATTTCCTTCTAATTATCTAGTGATGCAGCTTTTTGAAATACATAATCTTTCCATAGATGTTAAGCACAAAAGGCATTTTCTAGGTCTAAATTCAAGAAATCTATGAAGTTGCCAGTTATTCCTTGAGGACAAGGGTAAATGAAAATAATCCTGACTGAGTAATTTCTCTTCCAGGAAAAGGACGTGACTCCCGACAGCAGGCTGCTGAGGCGAGTGCGAGAAGCTGCCCTCCAGACTGAAAGCTTCTCTCCTTTTATCCATATGAAGACTTCCACATCCTTTACTGACTTTTTCCTTGCTCTTGCCATTTGCAATACAGTTCTGGTCTCCACAGCTACTGAGCCAAGGCAAAGGGTAATCTAACCTTAAATACATGAGGAAAATGTATCATGCTTCCATTTAACAACATAGCGTCCAGTGAAAACTGAAGTGGTGAAAAACTGTTTGTTTGAGAGTTGGCCTCTAGTTCCTTTATATTTTCTGTAATATCTACTGCTTCCATGCCTGTGTATCCCTTCCTAGCTTGTTGTCTTATGTTTGAAGGCTACCACAGGATCTGCACTTTTTCTTTTAGATTTTATATTATATATGCTGTAAGAGGTTTGTTGAACACCCTGGGTTTTCTCTGATCTGCCAGGCAATTGACAGAACTACAAGGGCTTCATTACATCTTTGTTTCAGAAGCAGATATACAAATCACCATCAAATTTGGATGCCATCTCACATATGGCTTCTCTGTTAAGTCTTTCCACCACAGTTAAATGGCAGGAGAGGGGAAAACAGGAAGTTGCAGTTATTGTTATTTAGATGCAGAAAAGTAGAGAGAGGTTTTGAGAAGGGTCTTAAAGTTCACATTTATTTATTTTTAACCTTCATTTTTCTCCTATTTCTAGGTCACAATCCCACCACCAATAAAACCTTCAGGAATCACCCTGGAGAAGATTCATCAGATATTTCAAAGGCTAAAATTAGCAAGCCTTAGTCAATCTTTTTCATCATCTCAGTCTAGCTCACAACTTGGTGCCAGCTTCAGCGCAAAGAACACCGAGGAGCCTCTTGCTGTGCTGGAGGGCTGTGACAATGAAAACGACGGCTCTGCCAGCAGTGGAGGCCAGGAGCTCCAGGACAAGGGCAGCACAGAGATTGGTGCTCCTTCCTTGGATGAAGTGTTTGGGTCTGCAACCAACACTTCTCTGCCAACAGAGTTTTGTTACGAGGCTGAGAGCCCAGACGAGGCAGCTCTGGTCTATGCTGCCCAGGCCTACGGCTTCATCCTGGTGTCCCGGACGCCCGAACAGGTCACAGTGCAGCTGCCACAGGGCACGCTGCTGACATTTGACATCCTCTACACCCTGGGGTTTGACTCAGTCAGGAAAAGGATGTCTGTGGTGGTGAGACACCCTCTAACCCAGGAGATTGTTGTCTACACAAAAGGTGCTGACTCTGTAATAATGGACCTGCTGGACAACTCCACCACAGGTAATTAGCCAGGGAGATTTTTCTGCTGTGTCTACTGACAATAAGTGTGCTGTAGTTTTTTTCTGCATGAAATACTATATCTAGATATTAGGAGTATAAAGAAAGAATAAGCTTTGTCTAGTGTTATCCTTGCAGATCAGAACTGAGATATTTATTCAACTTCAGAAGTGCTTAGAATATGAAATGGGATAATTAAATTCACTGGTAATACTAACCCATGGGGATTGTGTACTCTGCAATAATACTGTCATAAGGGCCTGACTGTTGTTTTTCAGGTTGTCAGCAAGAGTGCTGTATTATTAACAAAAAAAAACCCCACAAGTAATGTTATCTTAAAGGAAACAGGAGTTTTAGCAAGATTTCAGCTTCTGCACAGCCAATACTTTTGAGCTTTTCAAGAACTTGGTATTATAATGGAATCCAGTTTTCTCCAATGCCAACTTTTTTTAATCTTTGGCCATTAGATTGAAAATTATCTGTACTTAAAATATGGAATCTTCTCCTTGTGTTTCATAGGTGACATTAGCTCAGATAAGAGACAGAAAAGAATAAAAGAAAGAACACAGAAGCATCTGGACTACTATGCCCATGATGGACTGAGAACCCTGTGCATAGCTAAGAAGGTGGGAGAGCACCAGGTTCCACACATGTCAATAAAATTGCCAGAAAAATATAGTGATTATAATTCTGCTTCAGACAACCAGCCAGATACAGCCCATCTCTTTGTCCCTCTATTTGCCTTGTCTGGAGTCTTTTTTTTCCTTTTTCCTCAATGTGACCAAATGAGAGGTTTTTAGTCAGTCTCAAAACATTTATTTCTGTTTCTGCTGTAGTAACTCCTCTGAGTTACTGAGTAGCTGACCTACTCTACAATGCTTCCAAGCAAGAAACAGAGTCTGCAGAGCAGCCAACCTTTTTCTCTTTTGCTTGGCATTCAACTTTCAAAAACCTTACTCTCAGCCTGAATTAGTGAATTTTAGTGTCATACTTTCATACAGAAGTTGTCAATGTGCAACAAATAGATCATATTCAAGCTCTGGAGAAATGTAGATCAGCCCTCAGAAACTGTGTGCTCTCAGCTAAGCAAGAGTTGTGTGAGCAAGTTTCTATATGTCACATTTTTGAGTCTCAGCTGTAGATCATTTGTACAAACTACTTGTTCTTGCAGTTTTCTATTGGAAAAGTTATTTTAAAGATGACACAGTACTTTACCAGTTTGGATAGGAGTTGAGTCTCTGTGATCCAGAATGTTGGCATTCCTCTCTTATTTCAATTTCCAATAAACACTGTTTAAATTGTGTTGTGCAGGTCTTGAATGAAGATGACTTTAAAAAATGGGCCAATTTTCGTCGGGAGGCAGAAGCTGCAATTGACAACAGAGAGGAGCTGTTAATAGAGACAGCACAGCATCTGGAGACCAAACTCACCCTGCTGGGTAGCTAAAAATAAGAATTGTCATTGCATGAAGTATCACTTGCTCTCCTGTGATAGTCTTGGCAGTATGGCAGATAACAGCTTATACTAATTTATATCTAAAATACTTCCTCTGTGGTTTGGAAATCTCCAGGCTAGGGAGATAAAATCCAATGACAGTGTCTATACAAGTTCTCATGCATTTTGGGCAGCAGTAACTTTGAAAAAGTTACCTGAAGCTGTTGTGTGCCCTGAGCAAAGAATATGCACATCAGCTGTTACTGTGGCTCAGCTGACACACAAGTTCCCACAATTCAATTGTGCATTCATAGCCGTAGATAAACCTATAAAATACTGTAAATTAACTTCCATTTTGAGCACACATTCTGAGGGAATTTTGGTAATTGAACTGTATTATAAAATCCAGTAACTTGAACATGTAGGTGTTTTCCTACTGAGTTCCTGCTGTTGTTGCATTGTTGTGCTTGCTTTGTGCACTTTGTAAAAAGATGTTTAGCATTAAAACTTACATTGATTGACATTTCTGCATCATTCATCACCATCATATCTAACATCATTCTGTTAAATTATGGAACACTGCAGTGCTTTCTGTTCTATTTTGTTTGCAAACATTTTGTTCTTTACGACTGATTTTTGGAGTTGTCTCAGTCTCATTTTTCTCTGACTGCAATTTGTGCCCATACTTTGTTGGATTTCTGCGATTGCAAGCAATAGCTTGCATTATGGCTTCTCATAATCTCTGCAGTGATTTAAAAAATTAGAGTAATAATGGTAAATGCCATAAGCAGACCACATAAGAGTTAATGTAGATCTTGTCAGAGTCTGTTACCTTTGCCAATTACTAAGGCTCTATATGCTTTCACACTTCAGTTTGCAAAATGTGTTCCCTTAGCCTAAATCAATATCTATCTTTAATGTACCACAGTTACAGCATCTTCAAACTGACCTCTAGTGGAAGGGATAAGGAGTATTGTAACATTCAGATGGTCATTTCCCAACATCATCAGGATGAATGTTGGCATCTGCTTCTAAGTTTGTGCATGTTCAAAAAGAAAACGTACTGTACTGTTTCTTCTGCCTTTGATGGCTGAAGCATCTGACTTGACAACAGGGACAGCATCCATTTAAACAGTCAAAGTTCATCTTTTCTGGTTGCTTTGATGGGACTTAATGCAGTATTTTTAAAATTCATATGCTGTGATTCCTCTGCCAGCACATTGTCATTTTGGATTATTAGGAAGAAATGAAATGCATTGTTCTTGCAATGAGCAAAATGAAGAGACAGAACTTGATTGTTGACACATTCAGACCTTAATCCAAATGCAGATCATGTGCCTGCATGTTTATTTGTTGGACAAAACCTTGTTTCAATTCTCAATAAGTTCAGGAGCGTGTCTGGAAAGCAAAGAGCTTTCTTTAAACAAGAAAATAGCAACTTGATTTTCAAGAAGAAGAAAATTATTTCTCTTCTTTTCCTATTTGCCCAGGAGCAACAGGGATTGAAGATCGCCTGCAAGATGGAGTACCTGACACTATTGTGTCTCTCAGAGAAGCTGGGATAAAAATTTGGGTGTTGACAGGAGACAAACAGGAGACAGCAGTTAACATTGCATACTCCTGTAAGCTTCTGAACCAAAGGGATACTGTCTTCACCATTAACACTGAAAATAAGGTGAGTAAAGAAAGACAAAATGCACAGAATTTCCTATCTTACCTTTTCTTTGTGTCTTGCAGTTTGGCATTCTGTTGCTTTAGACCTCACTTAACAAAGAACAGTCAAAAAAACCCAAATAGCATTAGGAGCAAGAGGCACAGTGAGCTCAGCTCCTCCACAGGCTGGCAGGAGGCTGTGGAGGGCAGGCAGGGCTTCCTTGTGTGACCAGACAAGTCACACATCTGCGTTGTCTCAGGTTTTCTCTCCAGAGAACCAGGTTACCAATACAAGCTTGCTTTTCTCAATAAACCTATTGTGAGGATTAAGTAAATACTGTTAAAATACTGACTGTTTTCCTTATGGTGGCATTGCATGGAGCAGTGAGATGGCCTGGTTTCCAACTGCTTTTGTCTGCAGCTCTCTAAAGGAGAAAAAGCACTGTGCAAATATCTGTCTCTTTCAATGTCATGGAAATAGAGAAACACGCAAGGATGATGTGGAATCTGGCACAGAAAACATTCCAAGGTGTAATTCCATTTGAAACACATATCTGCTTTAACAGGAAGCAGAATGAATACATTTAGGATGGAAATTAGACTTGTGTCAGAGCAGAGATGCTACAGGCAGGACCACCCTGGCTCCTGGAAATGCTGGCATGGTCACTCACCCACAGCAGCCTCAGTGCCCTGGATCCAGGCTCAGAGGCAACCTGCACACACATGGGGACTTTGGGAATCCTCTTGGTTCAGGGGACACTGGAGATTCTCCACAATAAGATTTAGTTTCCTCACTTTCAAAATTAAACCAAAGACAAACTTCTGAAAGAGGCTCCCAATAGCAGCAATGAAGGACACAAGTAATATATACAAAGCATTTAACCTGTAATTTTGCCAAACTTAGGTCTGGAAGTGGTGTCAGTGGGAAGGGCCTCTCCTTACCCCTGAGCCTAGCAGATTATTCAAACACTGTAAATTAAATATCTTCCAAGAAGATGCAACATAATTAGATAGCTTGGTGGATTTGTTTCAAAAGGCAAGTCAAGGCAAACCAGGAATTTCCACTACTGTTTTTGGTTTGTTCACAGAAAGATGACGTTTCTTCAATAATTTTAGGGGTTTTAAGTGTTCATGCTAGGTGCAGGTTTTTATTAGATGCCAGAGGTACATTTGATTCCAGAACCTCCCACTTAAGTGTAATTTAAATCTTGCAAACATCCTACACATGTACCTTATGCTACATAAAGTGACAATAACATTATAGAACTGAATCATCACTCAATAGAGCTGACAGAAAAGGCAGAAAGAGGACTGATTAGCTCCTCAGATATTCAGGGCCATGCCACAGAAGGAGGACTTTGAGTACTAAGAGGGAGCAAAATAACTTTGATATCATTTTGGATTTTCTCTCCAGTTTAGGAGATCTGGATGGGAGTGGTGAAAGTTTTCCCCTTAAATCTGTTTCTATCTAGTACTAAGTCAATTCCAGTTGTTGGCATCTAAAAGGAGACTTGATCCAACATGAAGCAGATTTGCTAAGACAGAAGGGCATTGTTTTTGAGGCACAGTGCTTGAAAATATGAAGTTTTATTTCTGTTTCTAATTGTGAAACATGCCTGATGTGTGACTTAGAAAAGGCCTAACTCTGGAAGTTACTGGGTGATTTTGAAAATGTGGACCTCTTGTTTCTCTTACCACCGTTTATTATCTCTGGAAGCCAGTGCTGCAGTATCTCACATCATTCATATCAGAACTAGATTTTTCAATCTCCTTAAAAGAAAATATTTTCTTTTTAATTTCTGAACTCTCAGCACAAAGGCACACATGCCTTCCTGATGTAAAGATTATTATATTTTCTTTTAGAATAATTCCTTACCTCAGCTGATAAAATGTGCGCTGTTTTCACTGAGGGATTGGATGGTGTCGTATTGAAATAATCTCCAATCAGATGAATCAGTGCATTTCTCAGTAAATTTCCCCTAATGCTCATCTGATAGGCTTAAACCCACTGGCACGATTATACAAACATACATTTGGCAAGGTGCTGTGCTGTAAAGGGAGATGGAGATAACTATTTCTAGCACCACCTCTGTTTTCTCACAGGAAACTTGTGAATCTCTCCTGAATTTAACCCTGGAAGAGGTGAAGAAGAATTACGAGTACGACAAACCACAGAGGAAACTTTTTGGCCTCATGCCACCATCTTTCTCAGTCCCTGAGGCCCCCGGCCCCGAGTTTGGGCTGGTGATCGACGGGCGGACGCTGAACGTGATCTTGCAGGGCGGGCTGGAGGAGAAGTTCCTGGCGCTGGCGCGGCACTGCCGCTGCGTGCTCTGCTGCCGCTCCACCCCTCTGCAGAAGAGCATGGTGGCCAAGCTCGTCCGGAGGCAGCTCAAAGCCATGACCCTCTCCATAGGTACCTCCCCTCTGCATCTCACACAGACACCTGAAAGCAGGGTCTCTCCTGGAGAGAAGTGTGTGGGATATGTTGTACGGGGCAGATTTTTGTGCCTCAGGTAGACGCAGTGAGCAAGCAGCATTGGTTAATCTTTCCTGATCAAAACCCATCTAAAAGTTCTGCTTCAGCTTTCACAAAGCAAATCTGCCCTCCTTTAAACAGGATGAAGGCACTCCAGATTCAGAATCTCCCAGCAGTGCCTTTCATGCACATCAGTACAAACACATGTACATATTACCTCCAAAATGTCCTTGTTTTGGGCCTGGAAATCACTCATGATTAGTCATTATTTTATCTTTTCATAAAGCCCTTTTCCTGTCAGACTTTCCCTGGTGAAAACAGAATTATCTCCAGAGTGGTATTAAGCACTGACTCATTTGCCTTTTACCTCCAAATATTGTGAAATGCTTTGAGTCTCCTTCCACACTTTTGGTAAGTGATGCCACTAAAATCCTTGATGAATTGATTTAGATGACTCCAAACTAAACAAATACACTTCTGTAACAAAACAGAAAAGGAAGTCTATTGTATTTTTGAAATATTACTTTGCCTTACAGTTCAAACCATAAGCTTTCAGCCTTCTGCATCATTTACTTTACCAGCTAACCTAATTTACAGTCTCCACATTGCAGGCAATAAGCATGGTCATTCTTTCCCTGGAAATTTGGTTACATATTTGACATATTGCTGCGAGTTGAAATGAGCAAAATAATTCTTGAAACTGGCTTGTTATGTTGTCATCTGCAATCAGATTTGTCATAGATTCAGAGAATTCAGTGAAATAAGGTGTTTCAAAACATGTTCCTGGGCATATGGTCTTGGCCAAGCAGAAACACAAAATGATGCTGATGTAAATGGTGTTGGGGTTGCTGTGTCACCACCCAGCTGGTCCCAATGCTGGATTTTGTTCTGGTGAAGCCAGGTCTCCTGGGAAGGAGGGAGACCAAGACCACAGCCTTGATGCTGTGCTTGATGCCATTTATCAGTTCCCCTGATCAAGCTGCATGGTAGTACAGAATATTTTAAATAATCAGCATAGCTGAGATTATTTCCTCCTAATGGAGGCACCCTTTCTTGCATTGTCATTGTTCACCTCTGTCTTCCCATTCTAGGGGATGGTGCAAATGATGTAAGTATGATTCAAGCAGCTGACGTTGGAATTGGAATATCTGGCCAAGAAGGCATGCAGGTATCCTCTCAGTTTCTTTCCTCTTTTGCCAGGTAGTCCCTTAAGACTTAACAAGTTTCATAGCGGCCCTACACTCTCAAGTGTCATCTTTAAAATGCAAGTTGGCATCATAAATTAATATGCAGTTTGTAATTATGGCAAAAAAAAAAGAGCATTTTGAGCCAAAAAATTGTCATATGAGGACAAACCTGTGTTTGCTCATGAGACTGGAAAATTAGCAGATGTCTGCCCAGTGTTAGGTGAGCATGTGCTTTCTGAATCTTCTCAGCTGCTGCATTTCCAGGTTTCCAGGTTTTGTGGATTATCTTCCACAGTCTTCTGCCCTTCTGTCCTTTCCCACACATTCCCCTTCCTTATTCCCCTTAAATGGAAAGCTCTGCAGAGACAGAAAGTTCCAACTATGTTCTTGAGGGTTAGTTTGTTAGTTTGTTTCTTCTACAATATTTAATAGTAGGAAATTACTTCAATGTCTATGTTCAAATTTTGTTACACAGCATGTGAAAAGGATGTATTGTAAATGACCTTCTGTTCCTTCTCCCAAAGGCTGTGATGGCCAGTGACTTTGCAATATCCCGATTTAAGCATCTCAAAAAGCTCCTTCTTGTCCATGGACATTGGTGCTATGCTCGTCTGGCAAAGATGGTGATTTACTTTTTCTACAAAAATGTGGTAAGATGATTAATATTATTAAGTTTTCATCCTAGCAAAGGTTAATTCCAGGTCTGAGGGCTTTCTTGGTTGTTTGTTTTTTTTGTTTTTGCAGGTTATACTCTTACTTTTTATGAAGCTACAGTTCATGTTTCTTCACTTTGCAAGTTTATAGTATGCCCCTTCCTTCTTAGCAAGGTGCTGCATAGAGCATAGAGAAAAATACAGGCTCTAAATATATTTTGAAATAGCATTATTCCAGAGGGAAAAAGGACTCAAGGCTTAGCAACTTTATATGGCAGCACAAGAAACTTTATTAATAATACCCATGAGCCTCAAAATAAAATTTGCATAAAGCAGATCAGATTATTAGCACTCAAATGTAGATGAGTGTTCACTAAGAACTGCCTGCCTGTAAAACCTCTGAATTTTTATAGGAACCACTTGCAAGTAATGATGCATTCATATCTGTCATTTTTATTAAAAATTTAATGTATATGCAAATGACCCATGCATTGAAGTATGATACAAAGTGGAAAAAATTAATTCAGTTTCTATGAGACTGGGAAAACAAGTCCATTTGACATGAAATACACTCTGAGCATGAAAGGCTTTTTACCTAGAATTCAAGGTATCTGTTTTTTGTGAAGTTTTTAATAATTTTCAATAAGGATTGCTTCTTATTACTGTTAAAATTTGTAGTGAAAATGAACAATTTTGCTTTTTTTGACTGGACATCCTTTTAGAGTTCAAAGGCTATTTATTTGCAATGTGAAATAGTTCTCCAGACTAGGATGCTGCTGTTCTTTAATCTCCCCCATATCATTAGGGAGCAGCACGTCTTTGATTCCACATGGACAACGAGATTCTAAAATCTGGTGCTCAGGGCTGTGAACAGTTTACTTAATTATTCTCTGACATGTTCTCAAAGAACCATCATGGCTTTTTAAAAGCTGTATCACAGTCGATCACCCTTAAGGTGTATTGCTTTATGGAATGAAGAGCAGTGCCCTTAACCAAAATCCTGAACTCTTAATTACCAGTGTCTCAATAAACGCCACAGGTGTAACTGTGTGTTTGTATTTGCTTCTCCCCAGTGCTACGTCAACCTGCTCTTCTGGTACCAGTTCTTCTGTGGCTTCTCAGGCAGCACCATGGTAGATTACTGGCAGATGATTTTTTTCAACCTCTTCTTCACCTCAGTGCCCCCTCTTCTCTTTGGAGCCCTTGACAAAGATGTTTCTGCAGAAACGCTCCTACGTCTGCCCGAGCTGTACAAGAATGGACAAAATTCAGAGGTATGTCATGATTGCTGAAAATACTGCTTGATAATCCAAAGGACCACAGGTCTTTTTGTTCAGGAATGAGGGAAGGAAGAAAAGAGTTTTGACTTACTTGGAATGTTGAAACAACAGGAGCCCAACCTTCTGTCTCTCCAGTAATGCATTCCACCCCATGGGAGATATGACACCATAGGTCACTACATAAGTTTGAATATGGCAAATAGTCAAATTAAAATGGCACAAAATCAGTGTTGCATTAGAAGAAAGGATTTTTACCAATTTTATAAGTCTAGAAGGAGCTTGGATAAGGAATTTGAGGAATAAGATCCCTTGTGAAGGGATGTGACATTGGCAAAATTCAGCTTTTAATATTCTTGGTAGACTTGGTAATATTCCTAAGGTAAAATTCTTCACTTAACATAGATAAAATGCCTGTTTAGAGATAAGCCTTTGGTTTAATCAGCTGTTCAGGAGGTATTTATTCATGGAAGCAGACCAGTTAGCAATAATTAATAGTTTGAATGGAAGACAAACACCAATTATGTTTGCAGGGCAGGCTAGAGACTTATATCCCATCATAATGACTGTTATCTGTAAACTCCTGCAGATATACAACTTGTCAGCTTTTATTATTACGATGTTGGACGCCTTCTATCAAAGCCTCATTTGCTTCTTTGTCCCCTATTTGGTAAGTAACAGACTTATTAATATTCTCACTCTCCTGTCCTCTTTAGAAGCAGTAAATTCAGTTCTGAATAGTCAGGGTTCCTTCACCACAACCTCTCTGCCTGTTTTGTAGACATACAAAGACTCTGACATAGATGTGTTTTCCTTTGGAAACCCCATCAACACCATCTCCCTCCTGACCATTCTCTTGCACCAGGCTCTAGAAATGAACACATGGGTACGTATTTCACCTGTCCTGTTCACAGCACTGGTATTTTTGTGAATGTTGCATCTTGTGTAGGCATAGAATTCTCGTTCAGAGTCATTTACCTGAATTCCGGGTCACTAAAGGTAAAAGTAACAGGTACACTACAATTTCACATCACAAAAGGTAAGTAACAGGTAAATGACAATTTCACAAAGTGCCAGGATTTGTTATTATCCCCAGGTTAATACCTTCATGTGCACAGTGACAGAATTTGTTTCTATCATGCCTTTGGACAGAACAGTACCAAATACTTGCATGCCTCAATATATGAGGAAGTGTTACATGGAAAACTGTATTCACTGCTGTTTTCTAAATTGCTTTCTGGCTATTTCTCCTACTGCAGATCTCAGTAAAATGCACTGTTAGATGCACTCTTTGCAGCTGCCTTTGTCCCCTCCTGTCTCACACCCAGTCAGGGTCTCACTGGCATCACTTGTGCTTGCAGACCGTGCTGCAGCTGGTGACAATGATCTGCAGTGTGGCTTTATACCTCATCTTCTCCATCATCTACAACGCTGCCTGCCTGCTCTGCAACCCCCCCACCAACCCCTACTGGATTATGGAGAGGCAGCTCAAAGACCCCATCTTCTATTTATTGTGCCTCATCACCCCTGTCATCGCGCTCTTACCAAGGTTTGAATGCTTTCCTGTTCTCCTTTTGTGGGTTTGCAGACATGTGAGTGAAGAAACAATTGTGATGTGAACAGATATGTGATGTGTCAGACACGTGCTGCACGGGGATAATCGATCAGCATGGAAGTCAGATGCCTGAGTTCAACCTTCCAGTTCATGAACCATTCATTCATTCAGTTATATAACCCTAGATCAGTCACTATATATCTTCTACTTTTCCCATCAGAAAAACCTTTCTTTTTGGGGTGCATCAAAATTTACCAGTACAGATCTGCTATGTAATTGTTCACTGTCATAACCACAATGTTGTTGAGCAGATCAAGATTATAAGCAAATCTGACATATTCTTATATGTTTGAGAGTTACGAAATATATTCTTGGTTTTAAGTAAATTATAATGCATTACTATGCTGAATTTAAGAGCATTTCTATCTGAAAAATATTCATTGCATCAGAATTTTAGTTTAACTTTGTATTGCAAAAAATCAGATATGTTAAAGAAGCTGAATTTAAGAGCATTTCTGTACGAAAAATATTCATTGCATCCAGAATTTTAGTTTAACTTTGTATTGCAAAAAATCAGATATGTTAAAGATAACTTTAATTGAAACTGGATAATATTTGGAGAGGGATAGTTATTGTGATGTGTTGCTGAAAAAATGGTTTAAAAATCAGAATTATTCCGTTCCCGTATACGTATGGGAACATTACTACTTTTGGTGTTCAATACATTACTAATTCTTAAAGCAGGTATGTTTTAAGTTGCACCATTTGTTTCAAATATTTATTTGTTATTTGCTTGGACATTGAAAGAAATGGGTTGGTTTGACTGTCTTGCTAGTTTCCCTCTCATCCTAATTCCCATGAAGTAATACAGCACACTGGTATTACAAAATTCAGGACAATATTTTTAGTATCTGATTTTGTAAGTGCTTTAAGGCATTAGAATCTGAGCCTTAACTTGGCTGAAAAAGAACTTTTAAAGAATAGATGGTGTTTTTCTTCAAACTATTATTATTTTCCCATTTGAGTTGAGATGCTCTTGTGATTTTATTTTACATTATATAAGTTCAGATCAGAATAAAGAACACAATTCAGTAAGGTCTCATGTCTTCTAGGCAGGGCATTCTCTTCCAGTCTGTTTTGCTCCTGCATGACTTTTGTTTTCCTATCAGCCTCATTCACAGTGTCATTTTTGACCCTGAGCTTTCTGCTCAGAGCTGCATCCAGCACGTGGTTAGAGAGCTCATGTCTCCATCCTGGGAATTTAGCACAGTTAAGATCCTTGCTGCCTCAGCAGGTTACTGAGATTAAGGGTTATATATTCATATCTTCAAATCTGGACAACTGCTGTTCCTTCATATTGGTACCCCAATTATTTTCTGCACACTCCTTCATCTGCAGAATATCCAGGACCTATTTCTACTCCAACTGAGCTGTGCCAGCAGATCAGCAGTGGTGAAACCACCCTTTGCTGAAATGCACTAAATTTTAACTTCCATTCCATGGTCCATCACACTGTGCTGCTTGCTCCCTATCTCTTCATTTGGTGTCTTGAGGTTCTGGGTTCCTTCTAAGAGGTTTTTTTAAAAATAATTGCTGTCCTGGCTTCTTCCCCTCAGCACTGCCTTTTGTTTGGGCTGCAGGACTCAGGGGAGGTTTGCCCTGTGCCCTGCCTGGCCTCACAGCCTGCAAGTGAGAGCAGTTTACAGGACAGGAGACACAGTTTGCCATTCCTTCTCTGTCATCCTGTCTGGTTTACCTGGAACTTGCACAAAAGATACAGGAAACGAGCTGAGGAGAAAGACACAGGACATTGTGACCCACAGCAGATCTACACAGAAAGTCTTGTGCTCTCCTATGCTCTTAACTTCCTGACCAGCCCTGGGATTCTGTTGGGACTGACCAGCCTGAGCACAGGCACAGCAAATAAACTTCATCCACTCCTGCCTGAGCAAGCCCAAGAAATCCATTGCTTTAAAAGCCCTTTCTGTACTGTTGCTTGTTAGCCTTTTTAATCTTGTAAATCTTGTTTATACACATACATTGAGCAGCAGGATGTGAGGATGGCACCTTTCAAAATGCAGTTTCACAGGGTACCCATGTTTGTTATAAAATACATGTTGAAGCCACCTATGTAAAGGTCAAATACTAATAAAAAGATGCCTTGAAAGAGACTTTGATTTTCACACAAAGCTGACATGACATGGAGAGAGGATGTATGCAGTCTCACAGCACACAATATTTAGTTACATAAGTTCTCTGTCCTGCAAAGGGCAGGGAGGACGTTTCTGTTGCTGCTTTCTGAAAAAAATCCAAAAGCTGAGGTTTTTAACTTCTGGTTTTCTCTTATCTAACAAATTAAGATCTCTTCTTTAGCCTGTTTTAGAAGTATAAATGCAACTTCCATATTTTCAAATATTGCATCTCTTGAGATTTTTTTCTATTTTTCTTCACTTTTCAGCAAACAAGTAGTTATAAATACTAAAAAAAAGTTTAGTATTTACACATATAGTTGACTCTATACAGGTCAAGCTAAATATATAGTAACATGTTGTGTTAAGATCTGGGAGTCAACTTTCATCTGCCAGGTATAAGGTATCTGTACAGTAATGGAAAATTAGTATCTGTATTTGGGAAATATGATGTAGATTATGGAATGAGCCCACTGATAAAAAAATCCATTCCCTTCCTCCTTCATCAGGTTCTTTATTTTTGCTCTACGAGGAACCCTTGGAGCATCTCTTGTTCTGAAAGCACAGCAAGTAGATAAACTTCCTAAGGAGCAACAGGATCTTGAAATCCAGAAACTAAGGTCAAGAAAAGAAATTACTTCGAGTGCACCTCTGGCCGCACCTGCCTCTAATGAGGACCTTGACCCAAGCATCAGCCACTTATGTGTGTCACCATTTCTACATCCAGCAGCAGCCCTGTCTCCCAGGGACACAGAAAATCAGGGAGTTTCTGCCTCTCATCCTCTCGGCAGAAGGACACATGAGGAAGGCTATTACTTCTTTAACAGGTGGGCAGAGGAAGAATCTGCTGCTACTGATTCTTCAGCAGGACCTTCCTCTGGCCATTATCCCCTTGTAGCCAGCAGGGAAACAGCTCCTGGGCAGGATGGTGGCAAACTGACTAAAGATTATCTCAAAAACTTTAATTGCGGAAGCCACCGGCGGTCAGTGAGTTCAGTGACACTCTGAAGAAACGTTCAGAAATGGAACCCACAGCCCATGTGGAGAAGGACTCAACAGGGAAAATAAAAATGTTTATGCTTAGCCATTATTCTCACCAGAAATGGAGAGAGAGGCAACTGGAGTGGTGCAATAGCAACTCCAATATGCAGCTTTGGCTGAATGCATCATTGTCTGGGTTTATCAGTGCATGATTTTTTGATCTTCCTGGTTTGGTCATGTCACAGGAACATTACATGAGCATCGTGCAGTTGCTGAGAATTGCACAATTACTTTCTTTTAACAGATATTTTTGTATCATATTAATAGGGAATACTTGTGAAGTTTCAATGTCGTTATTATTATGCTATTGAGTTAATAGAAAGAGAATCCATTCTTTATTAAACCAAGTCAAAGCAATGCATCCCACTCTAGATTTTTACTATCCAAGTCTTAAAAAGAGCTTAGTAACTTAAAAATTATAATTCTGTGTGAAAAATTACTACCTGCAGATACTAAAGGTACTTGCAGAATAATAGCAATGGAGAGGCATTAGAGAGTGTTCCAGGTTTTAATACATGTACTTTACACATACAACAATATCAGCTCTACAGCCTCTGTTCCCTGAAGAGTAAGATTTTTATGCAGATAGCAGTTTGACCTGATATCGTTAAGAAAAGGACAAATGAGCTTATAAAGTTGAAGAATACAAATACTGAACTACGTGAACTGCCAAGACAACTCGGTGGTAAAAGGAGTCTACTTCTTCATACCTACAAAAGTAGACAGATATAACAAGTCACATTCAAGGATTTATGTCCTAGAATTCTTAAATTGTCCCTGATTTTTCTTCTAGAAATTCAGTTTCTCATTTCAGTTCCCTATATTGTTATGTGGTGCTGCTGCATTCAATCAAGTATGAGTCATGCTCCTCCCCACAGCTGGTCACAATCATTAGCTGATGGATCTCAATAATGGAGATTTTGACAAGCCATCTATGAAGGTGCCTAATCACACTGTAGTAAGTACATGGTGTAAATGGTCTACATGGTGTAAATGACCAAAATATGCATAATATGTTAGCCCTTTTCTGGTATCTCAGGGCAAAAAGATGCAGAAGGAAACCATAAGATGTCACCATCATAACTACTTATTGCAATGCAATGAAAGGTGACTGATATTTCTTATAGAAATGTTGACTAGTAAGACCATTTCCCAAGGTTTTCTTCACAATGTGGGATAAAATCTTACCTAGTTTAAAATTCAAAGCACCTGTACTTTTGTGAATCTACCACTGGTTCTGATTTAATAGGTTTTTAGCCTTTTTTATACGTTCTGTGTTTAGCTATTTACTACCTATGACAACATGTGATCTTTCTAATAACCTATTTAGCAAATGCTAATTTAACTTCTGTATGTTATAATAATTACTGTAGCTAGAGTCTTCAAGTTCTTACTTTAAAACAACTCAACTAAAATTGAGTAGCATATCTCCCAGTGGGATTTCTGGTAGCCAGAGCAAGATCATATGTTAAGAACTCCTTTTGTTACAGTATTAATTGTCAGCAATTAAACAATTCAGTAAGAGATTTCTTTTTTTCTGCTTTATGAGCAAAATGAAGGAAAATAGGTACAGATGAGATTATTGTTAATGGAGGGTGAGATTGCTCAAATGTTTGCTCACTAGCTGGAACAGAGCTGGGGCAGCAAGACTAAAGAACAATCCTTTACCATTCACAGCTTTTTTTTACATTAAATGGCCCATTTCCTTTGAGCTTAAAGATGTCACTTGCTTACACATTGTACTACAAAATGTGAAGTGTTTTATAGAAATAAGTGTGATAAGGTCATGCCTTGCTGTGTTGTTGAGAAAACAAAAACAGAGGTGAAGGAGTGCTTTTCCTACAGTCACCCCTGAGCAGCAAACTCCTGCTTGCAGAGGCTGCTCCTCTGCAGAGCAGGAACCCTTACCAGAAGAGCTAGATGACAAATGTATCTGAATGTGCACGGGGCTAGACAGGATGTGTTTAACCAAATCTGGAAGACTTCCTGAATTGAATGCCAGTTGTATGCTTTCCTGAATTGAAGGCCAAGAATTAATCTCATGTTTTCTCATCAGTCTCTGCAAAACGGTTCTACCATGGATTTTGCCCTGGCTTAGGCAGAAGGGCATACAGAAATAGCATAGAGGGGAGGGAAAACAGGATTGATTAGGAACTCCAGCAAAATAACCCCCTAAAAGCTATTTAGTGATGCATTTCCTGCTGTGTCTGGAAATAAAAGAAGTGGAAGAGTCCTTTTCTAAGTATTTTCTAGGCTGCAACCAAAAATAGTTATGTTGGTTAAAAGAAATAAATAAATAATCAACTTTGCATGGATGCAATTTTGTATGCCTTAAATAATTCTGTAGCTAAACACACAAACTGATAATTTTATTGTGTAGAAGATTGCCACAAATGGTCCAATGGATGAATTTACCCGGAGTTTGCAACATAGAGGAAAACCACCCCTTCATTTTCCTTGATCCTTGAGGAGAGAGAAAGCTGAAATAAACAGAAAAGAAAGGCAGCACCATGCAAGGCTTGACCTCTGCAGTGCAGCTGGCTCCAGAGCTTTCTATATCTCCCCTCCAGTGCTGCCAGCCATCCTCTGAAGCAGATGCTGCCTCAGTTTGGACCCATATTAACTGCTAAACAGTGTGATCTTCCTTCTGCTCCTGGCTATGCACTTACCATGAACTAGCTCTTGTTAAAAAAAAATGTTGAACAGGCACTTACTTCCCTTTGATCATGAGGTAAATTAGCTGAGACTATCCATCCTTTGGGGATGTAAGATCAAGAGAAAAAACTTTCTTTTCCAGTGAAAACAAGCCTACAGCAAGACAGATACTCTCCTAAGGAATTTCTTTGGAAGAAGGGAAGTGTATTTACTAAATGGGTTATTTAGACCTAACTGGATTTCCAAGGTAGCTTTATTTATTTATTTCAAGACATATTTAATAATACTGTCAAGGTCCATGTTCCATTAATTCTAATGTGAATGCTCCATAACAGAACAGGTGTCTCATTTTTAATGTAACCTCTGGTGATACTCAATATTTCATATGCTTGGATAATAAAACAATTAAATAATGGAGGGGTGTGTGAAATTACTGCATTTTTTTTATTCTTGTCTATGATGTTACTTTAATGATTCTGCATATGGAGCAGTGCTTTGAGCTACACATAGCTTTACCTACGTGAAAAGGAGGAGGTGACATCTCACAGGGAGGTGAGCAGGAACTGACCTGCCAGGTCTGTTGGCTCACAGATGCAGTCCCCTGCTGCTTGTGTGGGCAGTGAAGAGCCATCCCTCATGTTCTCAAAACAGGCAAAATCTGGGCTCTTTTAACACGAGATGCAGGGAGTGCAAACACACATACACTTTGTTCATGTCTGTCTCAATACAGCCAGCTGGAGATGTCTCTGGCAGTTATTGCTGATTATCTGCTGCAAGTCAGCAATAACTCTGCAGTGTAAAACCCAGAACTATCCAGGTGTGAGAGAGGAAGGATTCCAGCTTGTTCTCTTTCCTTACATATCTCTTTTAATACTCTGTGGAGATGAGTTCTCTGCTGAAGCACAGCAAGCAGCTACTTTTCCCAAAGATAAATTGCATTTACTTCCCCACTTTGTTGGCTGATGCTGCAATGTGTAATTCATTTGTTTGGCTGTAGTTTGAGGTATGAGTACAGAGCTATTAACTTAGGGGTAAGGTGACTGCAGGCAGGATGTGGCATGATTAGATACTTGTAAGCAGCACTGATGAGTAAAAATATAAATGTGGAGACAAGAGGCTCTTGAAGATAATGGTCACAGAGGGTGGGATTTAAAGGGATGACCAAATAATACTGAAGAGCTATAAAGAACTTTTGACATTGCCAGGGACTGGAACTTGCTGCAATTATCAGTACATGAGACAACTGTAAACAGAACTTGCTGTCTGGCTCTTTAATATAACACCAGCTTATGCTCATTTACATGAGCATGAATTGAGTCTGAATCATTATTTTTCAAAAAAGATCTGAGGATCTGTTGTCTGAAGGCATAGAAGGCAATGGTTATTCCCCCACATTCCCAGTGCAGCTACTGAAGTATCTTCCACATCCAGCCATACTTTCCCTGTTAGTGCCCAGAGAACTGGTGTGCTCATTGTGTTCTTCAGCAGGAGAGCAGAGCTCTGTAAATTATCCACATAAATGACAAAAGGGTCAAGTTTTGGCTCACAGAGACTAAATTTTGACCTTCACAGAAACCATGTCATGCTACTGCTTTCTTGTACCCATTACTGTACAACACCATAAAGCTGAGACAAAAATTTAATGGAACTGGGAGGGGAAGCAGTAAAAATATTTGCAATAAGTAGACAACACAATGGAAGAAGAGTCTAAACAGAGGTGGTTCCTGCCTTTTGTATTCCTCTCTATTTTACTAACATTTTTCTGTTTAACATCAAACAAATCATTTAGGGAACTTCCAGACATTTATTGGTTTTATTCAAAAAAGGACAAACAGAAATCAATAGGCTACAGGCAGGTCAGTCAAGTGCATTTGAAATCAGTTGGCTTCCCCTGGAGTTTTATTAGTGCCTATCTCATTTTGTGAATACTTTAATTCTAAGGACTTTTGTCAGGAAGAACAAATATGTCAAAGCTCAGCCTGAATGGATCTTCTTTCACATTGTTTAGGCAGCTTGTGGCCAGTGATTTCATGGTCTAAGTCGAGATCTGAAGAGCAGAGGAGACTTGCATTCTGTTCCTGTGTACATGGGATCGAATGGGAGTGAACCATCAGTATCAAGACCAGGAGTGCACCATAATGATAAAGGAAGAACATGAGCAAGTCCAAAACCTTCTGGAGCTTTCAAAAAAAAATTCCTGAAGTGATTTCCATCTCTGTTCACACATCATTTAGGGCTTTAGATGTCCACCTAACGTGCTTTATGAGTTGAACAAGGGAAGTGTGCATTCATGCATGTTCTTGGTTAACTGCAGAGGACTGTAAAGAATGGCCACACTCTTGCAGTTGCTAAAATGAGCATGGTTTTAATCATGTTTTGAGAAGAGGTAATGCTGTACAGACTGAAACAGGATTTCTCAAAAATTTTTAATGTATGAATACTGGGAATCTGTTCTTAGGATCCTTTCTCAATTTCATAACCTTCAATATCACAGCAGGGGGGAATATAGCACACAGACATCAAAGAGACAGAATTGTGCTTGCAGCTATTAGTTCTTACATAAAAAATCCAAAGCTAAAATTTAGAGCCAATAGGAGTCTAACCCTCCAACACTCTTCAATAATGCGGTCCAAGCACCACACCAAATAAACTTTTTTATTCCTAATACTGATTTTGAAGGCAGGTTTTGTAAAAGGAATGTTCTGGCACCACATGTGCATTTGACTTGCATTCTTTAACACTTAAAAGGATTTGCAGTTTCTCGAAATTATTTATTTGTGGTATATTTGTGATATATTTTCACAGAATCAAACAACAGTCCAGTGTCTCAGGAGAGAAAGACAATCCATGTCACCTAATTGTCTATGCAAGTCTTAATTAACAAAAAAAACAAACTCAAACCCTGTGAGAAAGGGGATTAGCCCTACAGTGGAGCATGCTTGAGGAGAACCTGCTACTGGAGTTTAGAAGATTCATCCATTGCCTGACATCAAAATAGTTTTTTTTTACTTCCAGATTGTAGAAATAGATCACAATAATGGTAGGGATCTGGAACAAGCTCATAGGCTGTGAAGACTTCCCTGGTGTACAAAGCAGTATCAGAATCTGCTTCATACCTCACCTGTTATTGTAAGCATGAAATGTGCAAATGTTCCCCACTGCTGTAAATGTCAGCATGCTGGGGGCAAGTGCTTTGATTTTTTATCAGCAAATAGTGTTAAATTGTATAGTGTTTAACCATGCTTGGTAAGAGTGATGAACTTCAAGGAATGAGTTTCCTTCCAATCACTCCATCTTCAGTTCAGAAAATAATTTATAAAATCCTGAAAAAAACTTCCTCAGTCTGCTGAGCACTAAAATACAAACCATTTAGACACAAACATTACTTTGATTGAGGAAATCAGGTATTTGATCATATAATTTGCAAATAAACTTTGAAAATCAGACCTCTGATTTTCTGGCACCTCTAGGCAGTGAAATATTCTGCATTTACAGAAGAGTATACAATAGCTGATAGGACACAGCCTAAAAACTGCTGATTTCTAAATAAAGCAGTTGTATTTACCAGGCCAGAATGTAAGTGGTCAGAAGGTGGGAGTGCTCTGCTGGAGTAACTGAAGTCTGGGGTTTTATATGTGTGGAGAATCTCACCCACACCCCCCACCTGCTCATTCCAAAAGGAAAGGTGCAGGTAAAGGCATGGAGGAGACTTGTATAGGGGTTAAAAAAATATAAAATTTCAAATACCAAAAGCATAGTGGAAGATAATACTGGTAGTATCTTAGCAACCAGTGAAACTTGAGGAAAAGCTATACAGGGAAATCAGCTACAGCCCATTTTAAGGCCTCTCTCTGGTTTACATTTGTTATGTGTTTCTGAAAATGGCTTTGTAGTCACAGTATTTAAAAATATTTTTATTGGAGGACTTCATCATCTTCAGTTTCTGCTGAGGGAAGACACATTTTTATATTTGGATCAGTAATTACTGATTTATTAGAGCAATTTCATCAGTGTGTGCCTGCCTTGAGGGCAGATTAGAAGAGACAGCAGTGAAAGGAGGGGTTGGTGCTGTGCCCTGTGGGGTCAGTGGCAGAGCCTCTGCTCTTTCAATGGCACAGAGACAGGGCCTGCATGTCCTGAGAAAATGGACAGTTTTTGTGTGATATCTTCTCCTTTTTTTCTGATTACAATGGTTTCATCACTGTAACTACAGTCTCGATTTCCAGGATTTCTGTGTCACCCCAATACATAGAAAATTACAGGGTTATGTTTTTTTTTTTAAATCGTCTGAAGTAAAGATATTTGCTTCATAGCAGTCAAGGGGCTTATGGCAAAATTTTATCACAATGCAGAATTAATATGACATCAGTCTGTTTTCAAAACATCCGATTTCTATTCAGTGCTTTTGGAATAAAAATGCAGAAATCTTGAAGGAAAATGGAATTTGCAGAGTTAGTCAAATATTAGAATAATTGATACACATAAATGCCAATACATTAAAGATTCATATTCACTTTGTTGCTCTTTGATTGTAGGAGTTTCAGCACCTATTGCATGCTATTATTTCTATCATTATTAACCTTCACAACAATGACCACAAACATCAAATTTTAAAAATTGTTGAAAGTATGTTCTTAAATATTTCCTATTTGTTACATATAGTAATTTTTTATTCTCATACTAGAAAGTTATAATTACCTAAGGAAAAGACGAAAATAGCATAAAGTGAAAATTAGTTTTGTTTTATATGAAGCAGATATCCAAACATATTTTGTGGGCAAACCTCTGTGCTGCAATTTATTCAGACCTGCTTGCTGTTCAGTGATAAATGAACATCTTTCTAAAGATTGACAAGAAATAGGAAATTATCCAGAATCCCCTAAATGCTCAGTTCCAAGAAATATATTGTCTGCTTAATAGTCTTTATCTTGCTCTAATCAATACTGTCACAATCGAACAGATTGTTCAGCTCACAAAAGGCAAGCAGATAATTTACTGTAAAAACATTTTTATTGCCTTGTGTATAGGTCTTTCTTTGTTAAGCCACTAATGGCTCAACTGTGCTAAATAATCAGACTTTTGGGAAGAGGAAAATAAATAACCTTACTGAACTACTGATAAAGAAACTGTACACAAGTAGTTTTAATCATGTTTCAGTAAGACTTAAGCTCTATGTATTGAAACTCTCTGTCACCAACAGTAAGGTCTTATAGGTCTTGCTATTTCCTGTAAATTCATCCCTCTCCAGGGCCTTTTGTCTTGCTACCTGACTTGGAGCTGGCTCAAGGGCAATTTTTAATCAGTATTTTGAGCCAGCTCGCTCCCCAGGCTGTCCTTGGCCAGCCCCTGAGGATGGTCTTCCCTCAGTACAGAGGTCCCAGGGCAGAAAGATGCAGG